CCATCCAAATATATGACTTGGTTTATGAGGTTTAAATAATCTTATAGAAAGCAAATCAAAATAATTAATGAAGTTCAAACTCCAATGAATCAAATGTTAAATAATAATATTTAAATTGATTTTTTTTATATAAAAAAAACACTTATAAAATAAATAGTAATTCCAAAGATGATGTTTAGGAAAAACACCATCTTTTTTAGTATTTTGTTAATTAATTTAGGATTGAAGTTAAGAAGTTTTCAAGTTAATTTTTTAGAAGTATGGTTACAGTTGCTTTTCAAATAGCTTTTCGTGCCAAAATACATGCTATTTTATTTTTTAAAAGTTATTTTTGATATCAGCACATCAAAATAATTTGAAAACACTAAAAATATATTAATTTAAAATTAATATAAAAAAAAAATTTAATTGTTTTTTAAAAATACTTTTAAAATACAAAAACAAATAAAACCATTAGAATGCTAAAAAAAACATATGTCGCTTGATTGCTAATACGTGAGATATCAATTTATTTGTTGTCATATTGGTGTCCCCATCCTTGATAAGGATTTTACATGGTGTATAAATATATTGTTGAATGACGTTATCTATATTACTCTGTACTCTAAAAAGACCTGGAAAAAAAAAACTGCATATTTACTATAGATATAAATTTATTATACTGCAGACTACATTGTAGATATAAAACATTATATACTATGAACAATATTATAGTGCTATAAAAAACATTGTTTTTTATATTTAATTAAAAAATATTGTGGGATCTGGCTAGATAGCTAGACTCAAGGAAATTGAGACAATAAAAAAATTAATTAATATCTTTTTAATTGAAATTAATATATTTTGATTTTTTTTATTATTTTGATGTGATGATAAAAAAATTAATTTTAAAAATTAAAAAAACAGACTTATTACATTGTAGACATTAAATGTTTGCACTGTGGACGACACTGTAACACAATAGAGTGCGTTGTCTTTTCTATGTTTAGTAAAAAATTATACCGAGTCTATTAATATTTTTTTTCTTTAATTTAAATTAATATATTTTGATGTTTTTATATTATTTTGATGTGATGATATAAAAAAATTATTTAAAAAAAAATACTATCTCAGTATATTTTTTTAAAACAATATTTTATAAAATAATCATTATGTAATAACATAATAACTAACATATGAGTCTGCACACTGCAGCGTGTTAATAATAATTTTTTTCAAATGTAAAAATGCTTGAGTTGGATTAAAAGCATAAAATGTATTTGCACCATCACCATCTTCAAATAAAATATTTTCTATAGGAGCACCATGAATAATAGAACAACACCCAATACACCGTCAACAATGTTTTTTCTTTTCAAGATATTTTCAATTTTTTTATTTTTCTCTTAATTTTTTTCTTTTTTCTTATTGATTTTTTTTCATACTGTAAAGAGAAAATAAATTGATGTGATTTTTTTTTCATATTATACAAAAATTTGGTGATAATATTTTTTTATCATTTCATGTTGGATTGAATTTTTTAATTAAAGTATGTTTGTCTTCGCGTTTCAAAAATGATATTAAAAATTTAAATTTTTAATTTTTTTCTTTACATCAAATTAATATTTTTTTATGTTTTTGTATAATTTTGATGTGATAATCTAAAGAAATAATTTTTTTTTAAAATATTATCTCAATATTTTTTTTGACATGGAGTATTTGTGCTATAGACAATATTATATCATCAAATAGAGCATTGTCTTTTTTTTTTGTTTAGTCAAAAATTCTTGCTGAGTCTCGTCGCCTAGCTAGACCCATTCCTGCTAGGTCTGGCTTAACCGCCATACCCAAAGCTATATCTAAAAACATTGGGTTTAGCTACATAACCATCAAAATCAGATGGGGTTTGGTTGTGGCTAGATTTAAAGCATTGGTTCTGGCTTGGTAACCAGACTCAATACAGTTTGGTCATGGCACCTAATAAAATGGATTATTATAATGGAGGTGATGTTAGATGTCCATGTACAATATCTAAAAATAAAAAGTTTCTTGATTCAGATATTGTTATGATACATCTTTTACAAAAATGATTCATAAAGAAATACTTGTGCTTATTTACATGTGAAGAACCATATGTTCCTTACAACTAAGGGTAAACAAAAAAACCAAAAAACCCATTAAACCGAGAAAACCGGAAAAAAAATAACTAAAAAAAATCAAACCGAAAAAATCGATTAGAATATTTAGAAAAATATCCGGTTCAGTTCGGTTTCTGGTTTTGTAGTGCTTAAACCAGACAACCCGAACCGAACCAAACTGGTTCGGTTTAGAAATGAAAAACGCTTTCTACACATTAACCCTAACAAATTATAGTTTACATAGTTGCCCCCTCCTTCTAAAACAAGTATAAATAACATATTTTCTTCTAACCCTAAATTTCAACATTCCCAGCTGCCCTTCTCTCTACTCTCTGTCTTTCACTCTAAAATCTATCTTCTTCTTCTTAGATAGAAAAAATCTCTCTTTCAAAAACCTATTATCCTGTGCATCTTTGCCATTCTTATCTGTTCCCTCTTATTGGGCTCTCTTGTCTGAGTGTGTGCTGGCTTTTGTCCTCCTCGCTTTGCTTTCCTTTTTTTTTTAGCATCTCTAGCCTCTCCCTAGCTTTAAATCAATTAGTGATGGATCCTGGGTATTAGATTCCATGAGAGAATTTGAATGATTGGACCTAGATTTCATTGACGAATTAGAGGAAATCATACAATAAAGAGAGCTTACTACTAGTTTACTTGAATCAATACCAACACAGCTACCACCAAATATCCCCGCACTTGTTTTGCTTACCATGAAAAGGTTTTCTTGAGATTTCAGAGAAATCAAGATCTAAAAACTTTGCACTCTCAACAATTTCTATATCAATGCTATTGATGCTTTTCTTGTCTCTCATCTCTCAAATCTGTATTCTTCTCCTTCATGCTTTTTGATGATTTTACATTTCAATAACTTTTGATTTTCTCTTTGTTTTTTTTGTAGTCAAATCCTTTTGTTTTGTGTATTTTTTTACTGGGTTTAACTTTTGGACAAGGAGAACAAAATGAAAATTGGAGTTGATTTTTTAGAAAATGAAAGCAAGTATAAAAATTTCAGTTTGAACCGGTTTTTGGTTTGGTTCTATTACAAAACTAAAAATAAAATAAAATCAGTTTAGTTGTTTATTTTGGTCCAAAACTAGATTAGACTGAAAATGCTTAGCCCCACTTACGATACCATGATATAAAGGATAATTAAGTCAACTTGTAGTTTAGAAACGTGCATGGACTTGTAGATGATAATAGTAATTCTTATTGGAGTACGATAATGGATGTGATATAAATGAATTAGGGTCATGCAAGTGAATTTTCAATCATAGATAAATAACAAAATGTAGATGTGACCAATTTTTTTAATCTTTTGAAAAACTCTGATGAATCATTATAGGATAGATACATAAATTACACTAAATTATCAGTCGTTGCACATGTATTCACCATCAAGTTAAATCATGGGATGAGTAAGGCCAATTTTAACAAAATTATTGAATAAAAAAGAAGCATTTTACCTAAAAAAATAAGCTGAAAGAAAACTTCTATATTGTTAAATCTATGATGAAATCCCTTGGTATAGGATACTAGAAATTTGATATGTGTTCAAACTTATGCATGTTGTACTACCTTGAAAATGTAAATTTGATTGAGTGCATAACTTATGGGTATACTTGTATAAAATCAGATCTACTAGGTGAATGACTCTAGTTGTATATAGAAAACTTAAATACTTCTTAATTACTCTTAGACTATAAAGATTATTCATATTTATAAAGACTTTGAGTACTTAATATGACATCATTCACATAATGCGGTAGGTAAAGTCATGATGCACACTTCTAATGATCACAACAAATTCAATCCATTTAGGTCATTTATGACTCTTTATTTTTGTTAGCCAGTGATTCTCATAGTTTACAACTTGCCTCTTGGGATGTGTATAAGACTGAAGTTTATATTTTTATCTACAATTATACATGTTCCTAATAGTCTAGGTAGGAATATAGATGTTTGTCTTCAATCGTTGATTAATGAGTTGAAGTAGTTGTGGTAATTCAGGACTTTGACTTATGATGTCTTGAAGAAACAAAATTTTCAAATGAAGATAGCTCTGATATGAATTATAAATGATTTTTCTATGTACGAAATAGTTTTTGGTTAGAGTATGCATGAAAAATTAGCATGTTTATATTATATAAAAAATAACAAAGTCTTCACCTTAACAAATGGTGATGAAAAATCTTTTTTTTTTCCATTGCCAGCGGCAATTCTTGCTAACCTATCATAAGTATATAAAAAATAAAAAAAGACTTTTTTATTGGTAGAGTTAAAAAGGCTATTGCACTACTAGTATCGTTAGGTGGAGAATTGTATGGTGTGGTATTGCAATATGATGATATTGTATTTGATTTTGAATTTGGTAAGCAGATGCTTTCTAATTTTGATATGATGTATAATTAGGTAAAGCAAAGTGTTTGAAAACATAGTAAAATTATCATTTTTCTACAAAGAGAAACAAAATTTAGCATTTGGATCGATGCTTATGTAACTTTTTAAAGATTAAATTGCATAGAAATAATGTTTAATATCCAAATAAAAAAACTTAAAGAGATCTAAATGAAAAAATGGTCATCAACTTTTTAATGAATAGTGAACCTCGGTTAACAATGTTGATCACCGTACAAACACCCTTTTGTTTTGGTATTTCTTTGTTAAATGTTAATAGTGATTATTAATATTGATTTGTGAATAACAACTTTCATTTATCCAAAACGCAAATTATAATATTATTTCCCTTCATTCTAGATATCATGATCTCTTGCGGCAATATAAATCACGCGGAGGCTAGTTTCGAGGACACAATTACTTGCGGTGATAAAGCTCTTTGTTTTGATTTCTACTTTTATTCGCTATACCAAAGTAATTAATATCTGTCTCAATCCATCAAATACATCTTTTTTTTTTTTTATAATGTCATATGACTTTAGGATACACCAATGATACATAAACGAAATATTTGACCATTCAAAGAGCAATTATAAAGCTAACCCCAACAAATATTTGACAACTCCAGAAGTTCCCATGATAAATTACTTGTTTTTCCCTTACTTTCCTGCAACTTGCCACCCTAATTGAAAACAAACATTTGATTTTTCTTTCTTTAATTAAAAGCACGTCTGCCTCATATAATAATGGTTGTTTTTCTTTTCCAAAACAATGAGCTCCTCTACATAAGGATCGCATAACCTAACTTCCATTCACCTTTTTGCAGTCTGACCTGATCTCTCCACTACTCCCAGTTAATGGGCTAATATTACCCATATTAATCATTGACTGAACAAAACTCTGGAAGAAGGCAGTTTGGTTGCTGCTGAAGTTATTGACAAGAGTGATTGTGGCAGAGCCAGATGTGGAAAATAACTCTTGGTCTGATTGGAGAAGACCTTGATTGTTTTGTAGGTTGGTGAAGTAATTATTGTCAAAGGCATCTGAAGTTGTAGGATCAAGGTTGGCCAAAGCAGTTCCACTGCCATTTTGTGGACATATTTGTTGCAGAGTAGTCAAGTATGTTGTGTTTAATGTTGAGTCAGGGTTGCCTGTGTTGCTAAAATTGTACAGCCTGTTGCTAAATGTTCGACATTGTGCACGTCCGAATGTGTGTGCTCCTGGAAATTAAAAAATAAATAAAAATATATTAGTGTTGGATTTCCATAATTCTGGATCCAGTTTTGATTTTTGAGGTATAATTACCAGATAATGCGACAAGGTCATTGGTGTTTAGACCTACTGCAGAGAACTTTGCAGTGATGTTGTTTAGGCCTTCAAAAGGAGAAGGGATTGATGTATTGGCTCCTGCCTGATTTGCTGTTAGACTATCCCTTCTTCCCAGCAGAACACTCCATGAAGGACCTCCTGACTACAAGCATCATTAAAAGCAGAGTATGTCATGGCTTCGTGTTTTTTCGGCCTTTCATAGAATATTTCACTTGCGAAAACTTCTGAGCATACACAGATCACATTGACTTGCCAAATCAAGCAAAATGAAGAGTTCCGAGAACAAGTTCAGTTTATGGACTAAGTAATTACCTGAGAAACAGATGATTCGGCAGCAAGTGCAAGAATGTCAGCGCAGGAGACAACACCAGGGCAAGAATTCTCCACGGCAGTCTTGATGTTGTCAACAACACCGAAACCCCGAGTGGAGTTAACATTGGGCGCGGCAAATTTTTCGCTGAGTATGCTTGAACTGTTGTCTAGTAGAATTGAAGCATCACATCCCTGTCCACAAAATCAAATTTATTCATCAACAAAATGTCAAGTGTAAATTAAAAACCACTTCAAAGAAATTAAATGATGATATTCAGTTTACATTGACGAAGCAATCATGAAAATGGAGGCGAATAAGGCTGGCGCCAATCCGAGAATCAGATTGAAAAGCCTGCTGAACAACGTTGCTAACGATGCTAGACACATTGGGGCATGTATTAGCGTAAAAAGTTGTGTTTAATTGAGCTTTCGACTGGGGCAGCATCATTCCTAGCAAGACTATTGTCACTGAAAAGAAACTAGTAGAAGGAGGAGGAGACATTGTTCTTCTTGAACAGAACAAGAAGCAATTAAACAGAAGGCTTTTCTCTGTCTCTTATTTTGTGCATCAGCGACTAGTTTGGTTAGCCAATATATAGAAAACTGTCACATTCACTATACGTAGCTCGTATTCGGCAAGGAGTCGTCTCTGTTTGTTAATAGTAAGATTAACCTTTAAGAAAACGAGTAGTCAGCTTAAAATGTCTTCTCAATCTGTATACGTATATAGTCAGCTTAAAATGTCTTCTGAATCTGTATACGTATACACATTTCTCCCTGTAACATTATTATAAAGGTGATTCCCCAACCCCAAGTATCAAGAAGCAAAAAAAAAGAAGAAACGGTCTTTATCTTCGTAGAAATATAATAAATTCGCTTTTAAAAAAGTAGCATCAAAATAAAAAAACACAAACCTTTTTATATTTAAGAATAGTGAAAGTTTTACGCGTAAAAACTAGAATTCTTTAACCTTAATGTTACTGTCCGAAATTATAAAAAATTGGGTAGAGAAAACTTGGATAATTTTTGAAATATCTGTTTATATAAAAGTAAAAAACCAATCTAATCAAAAGAATTCAAAGTTTAGTAAAAAAAAAATTAACATTACAAAAAGAACCTGTTCTAAATCTAATTTAAAGATTTTTTGGACTTCTTCTGATTACAACGAGTTGACTCGCTATAAAACTTGGCTTGTAGCACCTTCTTGCAAAAATCAAGGCTAATCCAGCTATTGAATTTAAAGTAATGGGTTTTTTTTTTTTTCAAACTCGCGTTTAACATACCCAGGCTTCTTCGCGAGCTCTGTTTTATCTTCTTGTTCACAAGCGCATCCACACCATGCCCCGCGTAAAAGTTTGAGGTGTTTGAAAGCAAGAAAGCAAGGAGATCAAGTAACAAACAATATATTAATGCATGTAACAGCTAGCTATGATTAATCAATCTTCACTGGAAGCGATTAACTCATAAAACACGGGAACCATTGCAGACTACGCGTTTGGATTAGTGGTTAGATTGGCTGAGACTGAACTGTGTGAATTCTCATGGACAATTGGCACTGTTATGTGCTTATAAATTAGTCTCTGACTGCTCTCACTAACGCAATTTTGGTATTGTTAGGCGTTCCCCTGCCGGGATACCCCCTGCGTCCCTTTCACCTGGTGAAACGCCTCTCCTTGTCAACTATCCATCTACTCCATAGCGTGAGCTTGGCATCGTCCGTCAACATCCCTCATTTTAAAGGTTATTAGTCGATACATAGGGCAGGGTTATCCCGACGGGGGCACGCCTATATATATATATATATATATATATATGGTGGAGATGGCTACCTTGATTCTTCAGTGAGGCTGTGTATGAGATTCGGGTTTTAAAATATATTTTATTTAAAAATATATTAAAATAATTTTTTAATTTTAAAAAAAATATTTTTAATATCAGCACATAAAATAATATGAAAATATAAAAAATATTAATTTTAAATAAAAATAAAATATTTTTATTTTAAAAAAATATTTTTAAAATACAAAAACTATCATATTTTTAATTTTTAATTTTTTTTTATGAATGTGCTTCAATCAAAGAAATAGAAGACAATAAGAAAGAGGTTGGGTGTATCTTTCTTTCTACACAAGGAATAATGACTCAATTCTTTTTACTTATAATTTTCAATATCCTCTCATTTCCTTGTAATAATTAATGCTTTCGATTGAATAGATTGATTCATTTTTTTTTTAACTCTCTCTTATTGGTTAAACAATTACTTCCTTCATCATTTTTCTTCATATAATTTCATTTTACTTAATTTATCATTCTCCCTCTTCATCCTCTTGACAAATATAGTCCTTAAATTGTTTCATCAGAAAAAAAAATCATGGAACATAAATAAATAAAACCAAACATTGCACACAACATAGGTATTGTCAAATATTTTAGTTTTAGCTAGCCAAGACACCCTGTTCCACGAAGACTTTTAGTCACTAGAGCCAAGGCTCCTGTCCCCCCTTCAAGGTGAACGTTTAATAATTGTACAATACAATTTGAGATTCTCTTCCATAGAATCTTGCCAACTTGGATTTTCAGCATAATTTTCCACGTAATAAATTCACTGTAGTATCCTGATTTGGGGCTGAAATTGCTTTTGTTCCCCTGTGGAAGAGGAGTTAATTACTGAAAGGATACTATGCAACATAATTATTTTTTGTTTGTTTTTTCCCCCTCAGAAAAATACGTAGTACTTTAAATTTTTAATTATCTCTCATCAATTATTATTAATTATTTTTCTCTACTTGTACTGATATTTAACATTTTAATTTATAAATATAATTAGACATCTTTAAAAATCAACTTTTATATCTTTGAAATTGCTTTCGAAACCATTATGTTTATAATAACTAATTACTATTTTTTTAATCTCATACCAATCCAGGAGCTTAGTTGAAAATCTCACCAGAGAGTGGTGGCTTGCTCTTAATTCACCAATGCTGGCAGCGTTTTGTGTGCGACTTGATAATTTGAATTCTTAGAGCAATTGGGTTTTCTTCGATAATACTCCACCGTAATTAGAGGGGGAAGGTTCAGTAGTTCTTGCACACATTTCTCAGTGAAGAATTCGTAGATCACAACAAATATATATATAGTAAGAATGATGTGTTCTTGATAGTGATAGGCGATCACTATTTGAGCTGGCTTCGTTTGTCATGGTAGCTAGTAACGAGACAAATCAAAGTTGATGGTAAGTTGACCATAGGATCAGTGAATGAAACATCAAAGATTATCTCTTACTTTTTAACCAAAATTAAAAGAAAAATTAGGGATATTGTTTTACAGACAGTGTCGGTGCTCAATAATATATTTTAAAAATTTCCTTGGATGTTGAACTCTTGCAATCACAGTACAAGTCGTTTGTAAACGCACACTGAGAAAAATATTAATTTATGATTGAAATCAGGAGAATGATTAAGCATATGATTCCGTAGGGTGATGGGACAAATATGGGCGAAAAAGATAAACCAAAAGGGATTTATATAGTTTCGAATTATTCTCCTCTTTTAATTTTTAGTATTAATTCATGGAAACGTAACAGAGAGTCGGTGCTTCATTTTCCCCTTGTTTTTTCTCTATGATATTATGCCCTCAATTTTCTTTTCTATCTTTGTAATGCTATCTTTGTTCTGCATTGATATATCATTTAGCATGATGAGCTGATAACAAATTTTGTGGCCGAACTTGCTCACACTTAGAATTAGTGGGATTAAGAGAAGGGCTCACTTGCCATCATTTAATGCTCTAACTATTAAAGATGGAAATATACATATAAACCGAAAAAAATACTTTTGTTTTTGTTTTTTATTCCCTTACGTAGTAATGTACATGCTCTATTTTCTTGATTTTTTTTCTTTTCTTTTTCATTTTCCTTTAGATATCTTATCCATGTATATCCCTTTCAATTAATGAAATTATGATCATATGTTTGATGCTTGTTGATTAAGTGTATTGCAGAAGGCACAAGAGCATATTTCTAAACAAGCACACTACCTAGAATTCTATAGCTAAAGGCAGTGATTATCCATAAGGATAGCAACAACTTTGGCAAGTAGCGTCTAACAAATTTGTTTGAGTCATAGTTTCTTGGCTTGGAATGGACATAGAGCTTGGATAATGGACTTTCTAAGCTAGGGAAAAAAAAAAGAAAGAAGAACTAGTGGGTAGAGGCTAATAGTTAGGTAGTGAATTTATTGATAACAATTATTACAAAGTCATAGGAAGTTTTGGCAATTACAAACAAGACATGGGAGAAAACTATCTAGAGATCATGACTGATAGGTTGTCAAACATGGGGCATGGATTAGAATGTTTTATAAGCCATCAAGTTCATGAAAGAACATGGGGTAAACTGCTTGAAACATGCTAGAATAAAAAGACCACTAAGTTCATGAAGAATATGGAGACAAAATGATTTACTACTTGCTAAAAAATAAAGAAGTTGATGCATATGAAAGCAAAAATAAAAAAATAAGAGGGCAGAAAGACAAAGTATTTAGGAGAAATATGATTATTCTTCAAGAACTCTAAGTCATAGTTTTATTTTTGAAATTAAAGTCTATTAAGTCATGTTTCCGGAGCAACTTTACAAGCCTTCAAATAGGTTTGAAATTGGCCTTAACAAGTAAAGGAAGATCATAATTCCTAAACAAAAATGAAACTAATAGAAAATACATAAATAATATAGAATAACAAAATCAAGAAAAAAGAACAAAATTAACTTAAAGAACATCTTTAAGAACTGATTTAGAGGCCTTTTCAAGCTTTACTAGTTATAGCCAATCAGGTCTTTTATAAAACTAGACTTTAAGAATCTCTTGGAAAATTTTGAGTCAACTCCAAAGGTTATATTAAATGTAATGTCATTTTGTTGGTGTGGTATGACCATACCTCTCATTGAACCTAATTTTGTCTTACAACTCTATAAATGCATATGTTAGGTTATCTATATAATCTGTTGATAAAAAATATCTAACTATTATAAATCCTCACCCAACTACTTGAAACTTTAACTTTTTACTAGCCCATATATCATTTTTCTTGGGTTTGAGAGAACTCGTTCTCAAGTTTTGATCTTTCGCCAAATATGATATTAAATGATGTACGCTAAAAACATCACAAGTCTATAGGTCTCCTCAAGTTTTAAGTAGTTCCCCCACAAGGTTTTCTATCTTAAAAATCATTATTATGTGATTAATATCATTTAGGGCCTTATATTTGGCTTTTTTTTTTTTTATCTATAATCATTTTATTGGCCAGCTTATAAATCCCATACAAATAATTTTCCATACCTTCAGCTTGAATGCTTAGTCATTTGATACAAGGAACATATGCTAACTCAAGCACTCAAGAAAGGTTATGTTTGCAAATGATCTCGAATGAATTCAATTGAGTTGTTTGATTTCGAGATTTGTTATAAGCAAACTTTGATTATGGTAAGGCTAGATCCTATTATTTTGGTTTGTCTTTTACCAAAGTCCACAACAAGTTTTCGAGGCTATGGTTAACCACCTTTGTTTATCTATATGTCTGAGAAT